AAATATCCTCGTAATCCTGCCTTGAGCCTCAAATTTGAACCAAACACAAAAAGAGACAAAGAAAATGTATCCAACCGTTCAAGAAGCTCTTTCTGAACTTGGCTTCAACTTCCTCCCCATCTCCAGCCCAGTGTCAGGCATACTGTACAGTGTTTATCTTTGACATACACACACTTCCCAGTTCAGCTGTCTGCAGGCTTTCTCAGGAAAGGATGAATAGCACTAAGAAAATGCTCTGTTCTGACTTCTGGGAAGACAAACAGTGCTCGAGAGTCCGGGAAAAAAGCCTCCACCTCTCTTTTTCTCCACTCTCTAAAAGGGCCAGCACACAAAGCACAACAAAGACACTTTCAGCTCCAAGGAACAAGTTAGTTCTGAAAGCTGGAACTACTGATTAGTCTTTGACTTACGACCACAAATCAAATCAAGTTTATTACCGTCAGAGACCAAATAAAAACCCTCCAGAAATATATCCAGTTCAAACAGTTAAGATAAAATAATGTAATGACATGTTCTAAGCGACTACTATAATATGATATCCTGTTCAATTACTTGGAAATGAATGATAGTATAAATTAGGCTTTATAATAGCAGAATCTTGCTCGATAAAGATGAGAGGAATTTGTAATTACAGTCTGATAATGATTTGACAATAGTATGATACTAAGCGGATAGTAGCTATATATAACATGAATTGTAACATAAAAACAGGATGAAATGTCTGTTGATATTGTGCACAAGAGATATGTACCAACCGAGACACTGTATAATGGAAAGAAGATTTTATTTAATGTTGTATGTTTAGTGTTTATGTTTGTTGTTTAAAATAAAAAAAATTTAAAAAATTCTAGGATAAAGTCACAAATAACAGATACAATCTATATTAAAATCGCAATTGGGCATCCAATCTATCAGTTACACCTGGACTAAATATAATATCAATCCTTAAAACTGTGTCATGAAATGCTAAAATGCAAAAGAGTAGTAGTGCAAAAGGGTTTGCCAGATTAGTTGTGTAAAATAGCTAGGGTCAGGAGGTGGGCTGCTACTGGTTCGAGCCTCCGGAGCCCGGCGAGGCTGTTTTGGCCCTCCCAGCCTTGAAGAAAGCCTCCAGAGACTGATGAGGGTGAAAACACACACACACACACACACACACAGAGTAGTGCAGGAGGCCGACTAGGCCACACCCACCATGGCCACGCCCACCCAGCAACCAGACAGAGAACCGGTTGCTAAATTTTTTGAAGTCCACCCCTGGCCAGGGTGGATTAATCGTGTGTTTAATTAATCACAGGCAGGATACTTATCAATTATTGCGAAGATATGGTTGTTTTTTTTAATATCTCTACAGAAAGAGACTTATGACCACAATTGAGCCCAAGATTTCTGCTGCTAAGCGAGACATTTCTAAAGGGAGCTTTGCCTCGTTTTATGACCTTTCTCTCCACCGTTGCTAAGTGAATCCCTGCCGTTGTTAAATCTAGTTAACATGGTTGTTAAGTGAATACGACTTCACTCCCATTGACTTTGTCAGAAGGTCGCAAAAGGGGATTGTGTGACACACACACCCCCCGCGGACGCTGCAACCGTCACTAAATAGGAGTCAGTTGCCAAGTGTCTGAATTTTGATTCCCTGACGCAACGGTCATAAGTGCGGAAAACCGGTGATGAGATGCTTTTTTTGTAACTATGAATGGTCACTAAATGAACTGTTGTAAGTTGAGGATTACCTCTAGCTAGGTTTGTCACCTTACTAGTTTGGGATACTGAAATGAGCACCGCAAGAATAAACCAGAATTGGAAGGGACCTTGTAGGTCATCTAGTCCAACCCCCTGCCCAAGCAGGAGGCCCTACACCGTTTTTGACAGATGCCAGTCCAGTCTCTTCTTGAAAGCTTCCAGTGATGAAGCTCCCACAACTTCCGAGGGCAACTTCTGTTCCACTAGTTGATTGTTTTCACTGTCAGGAAATTCCTCCTTATTTCCAGGTTAAATCTCTTTCTTCAGCATTGTTCCTTGTCTGGCCTTCGGGTGCTTTAGAGAATAGCCTGACCCCCTCTCCTCTCTGTAGCAGCCCCTCAAATATTGGAAGACTGCTATCATGTCTCCCGTGGTCCTTCTCTTCCCTAGACTAGCCAGGCCCAGTTCCTGCAACTATTCAGTAAACAAACCAGAATTGGCTTCACCCATCATAATAAGCGTTATCCTCAAGCCACTCATTGAATACAACAGCTAGGAGCAAACACACTGTCTTAACCCGCATATAAGCAAACCAATACGTAGCTAATTAAATTGTTCTGGGGCTCAAGCTTACTGGGTTTAAGGTGCTGTCCTGGAAACCAGGAGATTGTGAGTTCTAGTCCTGCCTTAGCATGAAAACCGACTGGATACCTTTGGGCCAGTCTCCCAGCCCAGCCCACCTCATAGGGTTGTTGGTATGGGGGGGGGAGGACTGGTGGGGGGAGCATTGTGTGTATTCACAACCTTGAGTTATTTATAAAAATAATAATAAAGGTGGGATGAAAATTAATAAACTAAGTCTCACTTGCAGAATGTTAAACTGCAGTTCTTGAGCATGCACAAAATGCCCCTAAATTCAGAATAAGTATACCTGCTTGAGGTCATCCAATACAATTTCTCCACACAACCTCACCCAACCACACATTTCCAAAAGTACAGTTGACCTGACTTCCTTTTTCCAAGACATGCTCCATGCGCCACATAAATCATACTCTCTAAATAAATTGCTCTAATGCCCTTACACATTCCGGCTGGCATGGCAAATGTAGCCATCATGCTTCACTAAACATGATTTGTGGCTCAAGGGATCTCAGTCGCAAACTCCAAAGCAGTGTCAAAAAGAAGGCTGAAATTTAATTTCCACCTGCATATATACATGTGTATCGTTAACGGTACAATTTGTGATTGTAATGTACAGAGTTATGGTCAAATTCCCAACACTAACCCTTGTCTAAATTTTAAACCCTTGTCTAAATTCTAAACCCATATCTAAATTCTAAACCCATATCTAAATTCTAAACCCATATCTAAATTTTAAAATGATATCTAAATTCTAAACCCATGTCTAATTTCTAAATCCATGTCTAATTTCTAAACCCATATCTAAATTCTAAAGCCATATCTAAATTATAAAGCCATGTTTAAATTCTAAACCCATTTCTAAATTTTAAAACTATATCTAAATTCTAAACTGGATTTTTAAAAGTATATAAATGCTGAAACCCGTTTCTTGCAATGACTTTCATGGAAGAAATACTCCAGTTCTTGGGAAGTTGGTGAAGAACACCCCCCAACACATGCACAACCTGTACCTCTGGGCTTACACAGAGTGACACACACAAACCACCCGCACAACCCGCTAAGCTCCACTTCGCTCAATCGATCCCCACCCCACCCAACCAAAACTTTGCTGCAGAGACAGATTCGCTCCCTTCCAGCCCAATTCGGAACCGGTCCAAAAGCCAAGGTAGAAACCCGGGCGGGGGGGAATCACTGCAGGCCAGGGCTTCGTTTCCAAAAACCCTCCCGCTGCACCGGCTCCCCGGACCAAGCCGGATCCGGGACTTGAAAAAGCAGCAGTCAAGGGCTGGTCCGAGGAGGAAGGAAAGGCGCCTACTTGGAGAAGTCCGGAGCGCCGACTCCGAGCGCGCCAGGCGTTGGGGAAGAGTTTGGGGTACCTGCAAGTCGCCGCGCCCCGGGGATTCGCCGGCTCCCCGCGAGGATCCCGCCGCGCGAATCCGGGACAAACAGCAGCAGCAACAGCCCCGCAAACACGCCTTGACCCGAGGCGGAGTCCCCGGCTTAAAGGCGCCGCGCTCCGCTCAGGAAAGGCGGTGGCGCCGGGCGGCCTCGATCGCGTCATTGTCCCCGTTACCGCGGGGCATCCTTTGGGTGGCTCCCTCGCCGCCTTTCCTTTTTCTTCTTCTCCTTTTCCTTCCCTTCACCTTCTCCTCCTCTCTTCTTCCTCTCCTTCTTTCCCTCCTCTTTAACCCCCCTCTTGTTCTTCTCTCTTCTCCATCTCTTCTCTCAGCTGCTTCTTTATTTTTCCTCTTTTCCTTCTTCTCCATCTGCTCCTCCTCTCTCCTCCTCTTCTTCTTCCTGTCCTCCTTTTCCTCTTGTTCTTTCTTCTTCTCCTCCTCCCTCCTCTTCCTCTCCTTCATTTCCTCCTTTTTTCCTCTTGTTCTGATTTTCCTTCTCTTCTCCTCTACTTCTTTTCCCCTTTTCCTTCTCCTCCTTCTCTCATCTTCCTGTCCTCCTTTTCCTCTTGTTCTCTCTTCTCCTCCTCCTCCCTCCTCTTCCTCTCCTTCATTTCCTCCTCTTTTCCTCTTGTTCTGCTTTTCCATCTCTTCTCCTCTACTTCTTTTCCCTTTTCCCTTCTCCTCCTTCTCTCGTCTTTCTGTCTTCCTTTTCCTCTTGTTCTCTCTACTTCTCCTCCTCTTCCTCTCCGTCACCAAAAGCAGGGATAACAATCATGTTTAGAGTTTCTCCAGCAATGCCCACCACTCACTAGGAGATAAAATAGGTGAAGCTCATTTAATAAATGATTCACTTAGCAACATAAATGTTGGGCTCAGTTGTGGTTGTAAAATGAGGACTAAAAAGCAAAGATTCCCCTCGCACATACATGCTTGTCGTTTCTGGCTCTAGGGGGTGGTGCTCATCTCCATTACAAAGCCAAAGAGCCAGCGCTGTCTGAAGACGTCTCCGTGGTCATGTGGCGGCATGACTAAACACGGAAGGAGCACGGAAGGCTGTTACCGTCCCACCAAAGTGATCCCTATTTTTCTACTTGCATTTTTTACATGCTTTTGAACCACTAGCTTGGCAGAAGCTGGGACAAGTAACGGGAGTTCACTCCATTATGTGGCGCTAGGGATTCGAACCACCAAACTGCCGACCTTTCTGATCAATAAGCTCAGCGTCTTAGCCACTGAGCCACTGACTTAAAAGTACAGGTAGCTTCATTCTCCTCTTGCGTATATATTGTCCTGTATATATTTTATGTTTTACCTTCTGTAGACATTTAATAAAACCCCGGGGGGGTGGGGAGAGAGAGAAAATGGGAGAAAAAGGAGGAAAGTGTAAGGAATTTAAAAAAAAAAAAGAGTAACTTCCAACTTTCTTCATTAGAATTACAAATAGAAATTACATTGATACTTTGCTCAAAAAAACAATTAACACACAGTACTTCTATCATAATATTGCCTTTTTGCATATCAGCAACTGAAGACTTTTCATCTAACTGTGCTGTAGTTCAAACCTGGTATGAAAAGGTGATAAAGGTGGTAGCCTACAAAACAAACAAAAGGCTAGCTAATATGACTCACATGTTTTCCCTGGGCATTAGTTCTCAGCTCTGGTTAAAAAAAATGCAGCAACCACAACCCTTTAAACTAAACACAGACATCGCCCTAACTAGGTGTTTGCAGCTTCTATTATCTAGGAGGAAGATAAACATTAGATTAAGGCTGTCCCAAAGATCAGTTTTACCATGCAATTGTCTTCCTCATTCACAAAAGGAGAGAAGGAATTAGAATCAAACAATGTTAGTTATTGCACGAACTATGCCTGCTTTCGTTCACTGAAAAACCAGGTTTGGTTGGCTTCTTGTTGATTTATTTAATTTATATGCCACTCATCTTGTGGCACAAGGCCAATTAAACCACCATGGACTTGTTTATATCTAGCTGTTGTGTGAATCCAGACATGGGAGCCAAGATCCGATGGTTTTCAGCTTAATTTAAAATGCATGATTCTGGGTTAGTCAACCAAGAATGGCAATAAGAAATGTTTTTTCATGTGAATGGCTGGATTTAGCTTACGTGGTTTGTAATCGTTTCCATAATTCCTATGCTCTTTTGCAGACACCATAGGGAAGAACCAGGTTCATCTATGATAGCCAAAAGTTATTTGATATGATGTAGAACCTCCAGCAAATAGTTTAGCTCTGGAAGGATTGGCTTATAGCTTGAAGGATTGGCTTATCTTGTAGAACCCAGCAGGCATCAACTAGTTGCCCAAATCACTTCTATCACCTACTTATGTTCAGTCCCTGCCAAGATTCATTAAAGTTCTGACTGCATTCACAAAACCCCCAAAATCATGTGACACTCCCAGCCACCAACTTCAGGATTCAAAAAGCAGGAAGCAGCTTGTGAAGAAGATCCAGAATGTGCTTCTTCCAAGATCCCCTGAGTACGAGAGAAGATATTCCCCATACGTTACTCGAGCGGCCGGCAATCTAGATCCAAGACGAGATGGTCTATGTGAGGGGCGTACGATTTCACATGTTCAAGATGCAGGATTTGGGTTTTCCAAGGTTTCCTGTCCAGGTCCTGAAGCAAATCCTGGATCCGTGTCGCCGTGACTTCTGCCCAGCCCTGCCATTCCTGTTTGGCTGAAGCTGTGAAGGATTGTCCAACCTTCTGGAGAACATCGTGGTCCTTCAGAGCTACGCGATCTTCTTGGACACGGGAAGTTGCTTGGGTGGGACGCTGCTTGGGTGATTGATTCTTCTCCAGTTGCTGGGATAACTCGGGTGCCTTTCCTGGAAACGCCTCCACGTTTTGGTGTATGTGAAGGACCCCTCCGACGTCCTTTCTCAAGACCTGGCAGGCGACTGGCCACCCTTCCTCCGACGTCGGGATCAATCCCAGGTTTACTCTGTCAGCCACATCCTGTAGTTCAACCTCCAGCCAAGGAGAGAGAGAGAGCAGAGGAAACATCTTCTCAAATCAAAGCATTGATTTGTCTTCCTAGCTCACTTTCTTGCTCAGAACCGCGGCGGCTCTTTGAAGTCTCAGGCAGGCAAAGTTTCAGGGTTCACTTTGAGGCCCTTTTCTACTCACCTTCCTATTATCCCCCTGGTGAATGTGGCAGCGATCCTGAACGCCGTTCAGCTGCAGGTTCCTCCTAAGAGCTTCCACAGCGTGGGGATTCCATTCACAAGCGTGGACAAAGGCAGCACCAGCATGAATTAAGTACGGCAGAGTGAAATAGCCAATCCCTGGAGAGAAGACAGACAAAATGAGCTCCGTGTCCATGTGGTTACATTATCCTTGATTGACACCCTTCTAAGCTTTGTTTAAGCAGTGTGTGAAGAAATATTGATACTTGAACTTCCTTTTCCTGTGCAAGAACATGTATTCTCTTGGCTGTTGTCAGACTCCCATGGGGCCATGTAGGGGTTACGTAGGGGTCATAGCTGGCTCTATAAGCAAAGTACAAATCCTAGGTGTTTGTCTGAGCTAAGTTTGGTTGAAGTTTCTGAGAGTGATGCAATGAAGGGGTGTTGGGCAATTCCTATTGTGGCTGAGGGCTAATCCTGCCTTTATTCAGACCTTGCTGCAGGGAATTTCAAAATATCCTGTCGTGAATGGATTTCGGCCTGCAGTATTTGCTTAACCTATGAATAGAGCCATCTATCTCTTTATCTCTTAAGTGCTGACGTCTGCTGAGGGCTATTAAGAAAGGTGGGGGCTGCTTTCTCCCTCTGAAAAAACATGTTTCTCCATTTCTCATCCAGGGAAATAGAATCTTCTGCCTTTTTAATATTCCTCAAAATATTTCATTCTTCTAGGTGATGTGTGGGTGCTAACTTCCTACAGCGGTCTGCTGCTTCCAAGCATTCCTCTTCCTTTTGTTTGTACCGCTGAAGCACTAGCAGCTCTTAATAGCTGATCCCGCGGGAAAAAGAATTGATTGGAGCAAGTAACGTCATATTTGTGGCCTGCCTCCTCCCACCTATCTACCCATCCTTTGGCAGCTCCCTTCATAATTAACTCAAGGTGGAGACATTCCATAATACTCCTTCCATTTTCCCCACAACAACAACCCTGTGAGGTAGGTTGTGCTGAGAGAAAGTCACCTGGCCAGCTTTCGTGCTGAAGGGCCAAACTAGAACTCATTTGCCTGGTTTCCAGGCCAGCGTCTTCACCTTTCCACCAAACTTGCTTTGCATGTCACGTCAATCTGCCAGCAGTGGTTTCTTCCGCAAAGTAAGCACAGCTTAACAAGGTGTGTTTAAACTCAACCAACACACTCGGTCTTTAACTAATCCAAACAGCCCCATTGATTCTGCATTTCAAAGATTCCTTGCAATTCAGAAACACTTTCTAACCAAACTGAGATTTCAACAGGAGAGTTTCTGCTATTTATCAGGGCAGTATTTACCAGCATACAGATCCACCACTACTTCTCCAGCGCATAACATAGAGGCTATCCGTAGCTTCTCAGTAATGTTTCCGGGAGACAGCATGCACTGGGTCACATCAAAGCTGTATCTGTGGAGAAAAACAAAGATGCAGGAGACTAGATATCCACCCTAAATTTCCCGAGAGGTGTACTTAACTAACCTAACTTGTGTACTTGTAGCCTAAGAAAGATCTGGCATGCTGGATCTTTATTGCATGGGATTTAAATAAAAGAAAGGGGAGGAAGAGATGGAGGAAAGGGGCTCAGCTTTCCTAATCTGTAAGGCTCATGGCCCAGATAGAAGCAAAAAACGGGCAGCCTAGATTAACTAAGCAGATGTTCATCTTGGCTTGTTTTGGAAACATTATCAACTTACCCGAGATCTTTCTGTCCTGTCCAGCAAACACAATTCTCAAAGTGACTAACAAAAATCAGATAACTTCATATCCAGAGTAAAACGTGGATAAAGTATGGGAAATGGAAAACCTCATGAATAGGGAAAACAATGTGGCACTTTTAACAGGCCTTATCTGCTTTAAGATCTCCACTACAGGAAATCTAGCTAGTTTCCAGTCAAAATACTCAATCATGGAGACTTTCTCATCTGACTTTCAAGCAGAATCTGCTTCCCTGTAATTTAAGACTATTATTCTGTATACTGCACTATTGAACACCACCAACTTTCTCGATTAAATTTGAATGTCTAGGATCTTTCGTGTGATTCCCTTATTCAAGTATAAATGAAGAAAAGAGGAGTACAGAAGAACCTTTTCTCCCTTACCTGATTCCGTTGTCCACCTGTTCAACCCAACCATCCTCACCCAGCAACAGGGTCACAGCAGGAGAGCGAAACAAATCCGTCTGCACTCGCCCCCGTTTGGCTAAACGCCGGGACCCCAAAGCATCAGCAACCACCTGCCAAAGTCCTTGGCCTAGAACAGAGAGCAAAGGACATTATATTTCACTATAATGTTGTTCAGTTATACCAAAACCAACCAGGAGTCTCTTGTAACATGTTTAAGAACCGACATTTGGTATTTATTTTAGCGGTAAGTTTCTAAGAGAGATCATATCATCAAATGAATAATCTTCAGTTGGCAGTTCTTGTATTATATGTCATTGTGGTTAGTTAGATCCCATTCAAGAACTCACTCTGTTTAACTTTTAGGAAATCAGCTCAGATTGACTTCTATCACCTATGTCAGGGGTCTTCAAACTTGACAGCTTTTAAAACTTGTGGACCATCTCCCAGAATTCCTCCTCCAGTCATATTAGCTCAGGAATTTTGGGAGTTGAAGTCCAGAAGTCTTAAAGCTGTCAAGTTTGAAGGCCCTTGAGCTATGTGGATATTATTTGCTTTGTACTGACTTTGCTGAATATATATTCAGCTATAATGTGGTTTGTTGAACATTAGTTTAATGTGCGATAAGAATTCAACCTACTGTGGATTATTTAACAAGCCAATGTTGAATAAACCATGGCTTAAAGCAATTATTAAGCGCAATCATTATAATTCAGCTCAAGTATACGCAATTGCATGAGCCATGGTGGCACAGTGGTTAGAGTGCAATACTGCAGGCTACTTCTGCTGACTGCCTACAATTTTGCAGTTCAAATCTCACCAGGCTCAAGGTTGACTCTCAGCCTTCCACCCTTCCGACATGGGTAAAATGAGGACCCAGATTGTTGGGGGCAAGAAGCTGACTCTGTAAAACCGTGTAGAAAGGGCTGTAAAGCACTGTAAAGCAGTATATAAGTCCAAGTGCTATTGCTATTGCAGTTAATCTTCTTCTCTTGTTGCCCCTTGCCTCCATCTCGTTCTTTTATTTAAATCCCATGCAATAAAGATCCAGCATGCCAGATCTTCGTGAAATCCTGAGCACCAAGTCAGTACTATGTAAATAACAAATATTAACCTTAACAAGGAAAGGGAATTAACATTTATGATGAGAGAAAAAAAACTGCCTCTGTTCAAATTAATTGAACTGCATTCTATCTATTTTAAACTTGCACTTCCCCACGGTTTCTTTCTGCAAAGATATCAATCTTAGATTAGGAATGAAAGTTTGCTTTTGCTGAACAGGGATTCCCCCACTGTAAGATTACATTTACTATTTATCTATTTGTTCAATTGACTTGATTTCTATAGTCGCCCAACTCAGTAAATGATTCTTTACCAAATTCTCTCCACTGCTTTGCTCTAAAACAATCTTCACTTAGAAGAACAAGGTCCCCATGCCTCTGCCAGGACCGTGGCAGATCTTTCTCCAACTCTTCTGACCATGTAGCACCATAGATTGACATGAGGTGCTGTAGCTCACTGTGCAGTTTCTGAACAGGTGAACATACCATAACTGCTTTCGAAGGAATAGGATTCTAAGAAAGAAAAAGAAATGGGTCAGTTTCCTTGGTGAAACACAGAGCTTGCTTCTGTTTCAAATCCTTTCTAAATATCTTAGCTGTATAGCAATAGCACTTAGACTTATATACCGCTTTATAGTGCTTTTACAGCCCTCTCTAAGCGGTTTACAGAGTCAGCCTATTGCCCCCAACAATCTGGGTCCTCATTTTACCCACCTCAGAAGGAAGGAACGCTGAGTTAACCTTGAGCCTGGTGAGATTCAAACTGCTGAATTGCAGGCAGCCAGCAGGCAGCAGAAGTGGCCTGCAGTACTGCACTTTAACCACTGCGCCACTAAGGCTCTATGGGGTCCTAGGTGTTCTCTGATCTTGGTTATCTTAGGTATACATCTGAGCTATATAAAGAATGGAATGGAACGGAATAACAGAGTTGGAAGGGACCTTGTAGGTCATCTAGTTCAACCCCTAGCTCAAGCAGGAGACCCTATACCATTTCTGACAGGTGGCAGTCCAGTCTCTTCTTGAAAGTTTCCACTGATGAAGCTCCCACAACTTCCAAAGGCAACTTCTGTTCCATTGATTGTTCTGTCACTGATGAAGCTCCCACAACTTCCAAAGGCAACTTCTGTTCCATTGATTGTTCTGTCAGAAAATCTCTCCTTGTTTCCAGGTTGAATCTCTCCTTGTTCAGTTTCCATCCATTATTCCTTGTCTGGCCTTCAGGTGCTTTGGAAAACAGGTTGGCCCTCTCCTCTCGGTGACAGCCCCTCAAATATTGGAACACTGCTGTCATGTCATCCCTGGTCTTTCTCTTGACTAGCCATGCCCAGTTCCTGCAACTGTTCTTCATGTGTTTTAGTCTATTGGATACTTGTGACGAAAGGTTCAAAAGGCAGAATAATTTGAATGTTTTAATCAAAATCCCAGTGGTTCCCAAAGCGTTACCTTACACAAAACCAGCCCTTCTGTGACATCAGAACAGTTAAGACAGTGGCAGCACTAGTTCCAATCCAAACCCACGGCTACATCGAAGAAGCTCAACCAGTGGTCTGAATTTTGATCACATGGCCATGGGGATGGTGCAACAGTCATAAGTGTGAAAAACAGTCATAAGTCACTTTTTTCAGTGCCATTTTACCTTGGAACAGTCATTAAATGAACTGTTTCAATTCAAGGACTACTTGCATTTATTTTCAGCCTCAGAGATAAGTCAAGAATTAGGCAAAAAACTTGACTTCTTCGCAACAGCTTGACTTACATGTATCCATGTCAGAGCGCAGGCCTTTCCATGTGGTATGCTCTCCTTTAGCTGTTGTAGGTGCTGCGCTGTGAAGTTTTGGCCAAGTATAGGCAATGCTGTGGTCCCATCAGGAAGTTTCTGCACTCGATAAAGGGAGTTCAAAATCCCTTCTTTCTTCAAGAGTTTTCTGTAATATCAACCAATTCATGAGGATCCCTGAAGAAAATTATTGCTACTGCTACAGAGAAGGGCCAAAATAGAATGCAAGACTGTTTTTTTAAGGGTGATACCACATTAAGTCAACAACAAAGTGAACATGGACCTGGCTTCATCAACTTGAACCAAGTGGCCAGCCTGAGAAATCATCAGGACTTCACAAGGAAACTCTTCATGGCATAGCTACAAAACAGGAAAGCCAGGAGGGATGGACAGAGATATAGAGATAAACAGATTATTAGATAGGTAGGTAGATGAAAGACAGACAGACAGACAGGTATAATTAGATAAGATAGATAGATGATAGAGATCTGTAGATACAGACAGATAGATAGATAGATAGATAGATAGATAGATAGATAGATAGATAGATAGATAGATAGATAGATAGATAGATAGATAGACAGACAGACAGACAGACAGACTGACTGACTGACTGACTGATTCGGGGTGCAGATGGAAATGAACCGGTTTTAAAGAAAGAAGACCTTCCCGCAAATAAAATCCTTGCATCCCAACGCGCCCCTTCCTAGAAATCCGCCCTCCACACCTGAAAAGCTGAGTAAACTGAGCCTCGGTAACGAGAGCCGCGGTGCCGCCAGAGGACGAAGCACCGACCTCCATCTTCAGCCATCGACACCGAAGAGAAACGGCAGTAGCGCGGAAGCGGAACTCAAGTGTGAGCGCCAGGGCTTCCGGGGGGAAGGAGAAAAGGGTGGGTTCCACCACGAAAATGAAGGTGGCGGCGGCGCGTTTCGGCGACGGACCGGAAGTCGGCGGTTGGGTTGAAAGCCGCGGTGGGGAAGATGGCGGGCTTGTCGGTGCGGGACCCCGCGGTGGATCGGTCTCTGCGCTCCGTGTTCGGTGAGCTGCTGCGCCCCATCAGCCTCCCTCTCGCCCCGGGGAGCTCTCGACGCCGCCTCGGCCCGGCCGTGCCTGGCCAAGGGGGACTACGAGCCCTCATCACCGCCCGCCCCCCTCCAGCCGGGCTGTCTGGTTGAGGGATATGAGGGGATGTAGCCCCCTCCTCCGTGGGGTCCTGGACTCCCTGGCTAATTTTGGGTGGGGGGTGCGTGGCTCCCTGTAGGTGCCAAAACTCCAGTTCCCATCATTCCCAGCCATCACCCCTTGAAACGTGTTGCACAGCCTTTTTGGAAATGCATGCAGCTTTCAGATCTCTTCTTAAAATTGAGCTCTTGTATCTATATTTTTAAACCAACATTTATTTATTTATTATTCTGTTTTATTTGTGTGTAGTGTGTGTGTGTAAGAATAGAATTAGAATGGGAAGAGAAGAGAAAATAGACTAGAATGGAATAGAATTCTTTATTGGTTAAGTGTGATTGGACACACAAGGAATTTGTCTTGGTGCAAATGCTCTCAGTGTACATAAAAGGAAAGCTACATTCGTCAAGAATCATCAGGTACAACACTTAATAATAGTCCTAGGGTACAATAGTATAGAATAGAAGGATATAGGAATAAAATTTTAATGGAATGGAATGGAATAGAATTATTTTATTGGTCAAGTGTGATTGGACACACAAGGAATTGGTCTTGGTGCAAATGCTCTCAGTGTACATAAAAAGAAAGAGACATTCATCAAGAGTCAAGAATCATAAGGTACAACACTTAATAATAGTCATAGTGTACAATAAGCAATCAAAATACTAGGAAACGGTCAATAAAAATAATTAGGTTACAAACAATGAGGTTACAGTCATACAGTCATAAATGGGAAGAGATGGGTGAAAGGAAGGATGAGAAGATTAATAGTGATAGTAATGCAGACTTAGTAAATAGTTGGACAGTGTTGAGGGAATTATTTGTTTACCAGCTTTCAGAAAAAAACCTGTCCTTGTGTCTAGTTGTTCTGGTGTGCAGTGCTCTATAGGTCATTTTGAGGGAAGGAGTTGAAACAGTTTATGTCCAGGAAGTGAGGGGTCTATAAATATTTTCACAAGCCTCTTTTTGACTCGTGCAGTATACAGGTCCACGATTGAAGGCAGGTTGGTAGCAGTTGTTTTTTTCTGCGGTCCTAATTACTCTTTGAAGTCTGTGTCTTGTTGGGTTATAGAGGTGCAGATGACAGATGATCATTCCTCTGTAGAACTGTATTAGTGGCTTCTTGGGAAGTTTGAGCTTTCTGAGTTGGCGCAGAAAGAACATTCTTTGTTGTGCTTTTTTGATGATGTTTTTGATGTTAGGTGTCCATTTTAGGTCTTGTGATATGATAGAACCTAAAAATTTAAAGGTCTCTACTGTTGATACTGTATTGTCTAGTACTGTAAGAGGTGGTACGTATGGGAGGGTTTCTCCTAAAGTCTACCACCATTTCTACAGTTTTGAGTGTGTTCAGTTCCAGATTGTTCTGGTTACACCATGAGGCAAGTTGTACACACACACATACACACATATACGTATGTATAGATATAGGTTTTATATATATATATATATATATATGTATGTATGTATGTATGTATGTATATGTGTATGTATGTATGTATGTATATGTGTGTGTGTGAATATGACATGTATATGTTATGGTCTTCTGCCTGTTGCTTATCATTGGCGCAAATAGATTTTAAACACTTTAAATCTGTTTGCTTTTTCATTACTGCTATATACTGTATCGGGCTGGACAATGTTATAATATTGGCAATTTCACTCTTTCCGATGCAAAGTATCTTAAAAATGTAAATTGAATCCTCAAAAGCCTCTGTGGAGACTATCCATCCTGTCTCCAACAATATTTTTCCACTTCTGCATGTCACTTTTAATCGGCATATCAAACTGGTATTTGGTATCGGACCTAGGATCGATGTATTATTCTTTGCCTGAGGCCTATCTTTTGTTTTATTTTGTTTTATTTTTTTATTTATTTGACATTTTTTATTCAATAAAGCATTAAAAAAACAATGAACATGGTGTGATCATTCTGACAATTCTGTTTGTCATACATATCTATCGTACATAACATATGATGCATATTTACATAACCTATACATTTGTACATTTTTTCAATTTTCCGTCTTTCTAGTCTTCTCTCCTAGCAACCTTTTCTTATTTTAATGTTGAGTCCTTCCTTTTCCCCCACCATTGATAGAATTTATCCCATACATTATAGTATTCAGTCTCATCCTTATTTTTTTATTTCCAAAGTTAATTTATACATCTCAGCACATATCCATATCTTTTTAATTATTTCGCTTTCATCTGGAATTTCTTTATCTTTCTACTTTTGAGCATAAGCTAACCTTGATGCCATGATCAATTTTTTTTTATTTCTGTTGACTGTAAGATTATTTTAAGTCTGGGTGTAAGTTTGACTTTTAGTTCGTATTTTGTGGTTTTGCTAGTTTTGTACCATTGAAATGAGTGGCTCATAAATCACAATAAATAAATAGCATTAACTGCAACAAATGACTAATGCGATAAGATTGCTGACTTTATTGGTTGAAAATAATAGGAACTGTGCCAGTAAAAGGCATCGGGTTGGAAAGACCGCCTTAATATCTAATAATACCACAGATACTGATGACCTGCTCCTGTCTTTCTCCTGTAGTGGGGAACATCCCTTATGAAGCCACAGAGGAACAGCTGAAAGACATCTTCTCAGAGGTTGGACCTGTAGTCAGTTTCCGGTGAGGAGCTTCCCTTTCGGAATTCACTGTGCATGCACACACCTCACAGAAGATTTTCGGCTGATTTGAGCCTTTTTCGGCCTCCTAGAGGCTTGAAAAAAGCCTCTGCAGGACGAATAATAGGGCCATTTTGTCACTTCCTGAAATACCGGAAATGACGAAACGGTCCTATTATTCGGCCAGCAAAGCCTGCAGAGGCTTTTTTCAAGCCTCTGGGAGCTGAAAAGGGCTTCAAACCGGCTCAAAATCAGCTGTGAGGCGCAGTGCAGGTTAGGGGGCGGCGGCGGGAGGGGGAATTACGCACGCATGCGCAGAGGGTGTGGGCGGGCGCATTGCCTTCTGGGTGCTGGCATGCGAGCTCCAGCGCACGCACAATTTTGGGCACAGGAGCCCCAAAAGATTAGCCACCACTGACCTAGATAAATCTTCCCCAACCTGGCATCCTTCCGATATATCAGATAAGTCAGGCTGGTGCTTCCATTAGAGAAAGGCCATTCTGGAGAACCACTGCAATTCAAACTATACACTATATTAGGAGATGGGAATGCTGGACCCTCCAAATACAGGAAGTCCTCGACTTATAACAGTTCATTTAGTGACCGTTCAAAGTTACAACGGCACTGAATAAAATGACTTCTAGTCATTTTTCACAGTTACGATCTTTGCAGCATCCCCGATGGTCATTGTAATCAGAATTCAGGAGCCTGGCAACCAGCTCCTAGTTATGACGGTTGCCGTACCCCAGGGCTAAGGGATCAACGTTTGTGATTTTTCTGACAAGGAAAGCTGGCGGGGAAGCCAGATTCATTTCACAAACTTGAGTTACTAACCGAACAACTTCAGTGATTCGCAGAACAGCTGCGGGAAGAGATGTTTCAAAATGGGGCTAAAGTCCCTTCGTTCCAGTGCAGCGGCCTGGAGGTGCAGCTCTCGCCTCACAATCAGGAGGCTGTGAGTTCGATCCTAGGTAGAGGCTGATATTTGGAATAGACTTTGCTGCTGGAGCAGGTGTTCAGGTAATTCCCCGTTAGGAGAATGAGCGCATACAGGGAGACGTATAGAGAGTAGTGTTTGACTAGATCTGGGGTTTGGACTAGATCAGGGGTCGCCAACCTTTTGGATCTCAGGGACCACCAAACTCATGATTTTAAATCCCGCAGACCACTAATATGAATTTTGGCGGACGGTGGCTTGCTGACGTTTTCCCAGGGGTCTCTGCAGAAAGCAGCAGAGACCCTGGGACAATCCCCCAAAAAGTCTGCAGGAAAATCCCCCACCCCGTTTTCCTACCGATCGATCCTTCTTTATTTGGGATCACAGGATACCGTCTCCCAGCTTGCCAAGTTTGGAGACCCTTGGTCTAATGGAATGGCAGAGCCGCTACGATGAGTTCCAGCTGCATCGCAGGAGTTACCAGAACGTGATTCCAGTTGCCAACTGCTTCTGGCTCTGGATTTTGCCTCGAGGTTGGACTCCTGAAGCCTTTTTGGCATAACCGTCTTGGTTTTCTCTGCTCTGCCAACCAGGTTGGTGTATGACAGAGAGACGGGCAAACCGAAAGGCTATGGCTTCTGCGAGTATCAGGACCAAGAAACAGCGCTCAGTGCCATGCGGAATCTCAACGGGCGAGAATTTAGTGGGAGAGCCCTGCGAGTGGACAACGCAGCCAGTGAGAAGAACAAGGAGGAACTGAAGAGTGAGTCTTGAAGGCCCATCAGGAGAGGGGAGAAGGGTGGGGGGGCGACACCCAGGCTGCGGTTCTGTGCTTGTTTATAGCACGTGTGATCTACAATCTCTGGCCCTAAGGTTTTCCTTCCTTCCTCTGCTAGGCCTGGGCACTGGTGCTCCCATCATAGAGTCGCCCTACGGAGACCCCGTCAACCCCGAAGATGCTCCTGAGTCCATCAGCAGAGCAGTGGCCAGCTTGCCTCCTGAGCAGATGTTTGAACTGATGAAGCAAATGAAGGTTGGTGGGTTGGCAACCCGGAGGAGAGGACAATTGCTT